GGTCATTTTCACATGGTCTTATAATGGCCTGGCTTTCTAAACATGTTCTAGTGGCAGAAATTGCAATTAAAATTTTCACAAAAATAAAATTTATTATATAATTATAGTAAGTTTTTTTAAGATGTAAAATTTAAGTGTATTATCAAAAATAAGATGTTTAATTTTTAATATATTAAATTTTTAATAAATGCAGTGAGTTTAGTGATACTAAATATAAAAATAAAGAAGTAAAAATCAAATAACAAATAAAAATTGCATTGCAACTACATGAGGAAATCTAAGCAAATTAAAAATAAATCTGTTTGCTAGAACTACTTTTATAAATATGTTCTTCCAATATCTAAAATTTATTGGAAGAAACATTAACAACAACAACAATCCTTTTCTTATTAAAAAGTTAGAACAACTTAAAATAAATGACAGTCTCATTAAATTTATTATATAAAAAATGTAAAGTTATTTTCATAATAAATTATTTTACAGATAGTTGGTAAATCTCATACAATGAAAATGAGATTTTCCAGTAATTCAACTAATTTTAAAGTCATTAATATATGATCATATCATCATTAAAATTTTCTAATCCCTAAATTATATAGATTTAAGAATTCAATTTATCATTAGATGATAGCCTAACTGCTTACCTATAACCATATTACTTTATATCTAATCATTAAAATATCCTTGTTACAGCCTGATATATAACCTGGCAGTTTATTTGTCATTAGTAATATGAATCGGATTGATGTATGTTATTATATATTGATTAGTAATATTCAATCAAAAGAAAATATTTTGAAATTCTAAATAAATTCCAAAATAATTATAATACTAGGAAAATACCAAACTGATATTTTTATTTAATTTATATTAAAGATATGATGGCTTATGCATGTATTTCAACCATCAACAGCTAATTTTAGTAGTAGTATTTTAGCTGATTAAATAAATATGTAGTAGTTGTGTATTTTCTGAATTATCTGAAATAAATCTATGCAATTTTTTAAATCAAATCAAGGACTAATATGTGAAATAACTCTCTCTAAACTAACTTTTGATATAGGAAAGTTCCGGACAATGTATTTCACTATTATTCAGCATCATAGTTAATTTCTTAATTTATGATTTTCTATAGCAGTATCAGCAAGCAAAAAGCAGGCACAGAAATTAAATGGCTGACTCAAACTCAGGGCTGTGGAGTCAGAGTCAGGAAAAATGTGTCGACTCCGACTCCGGCATTTTAAATTTAATTTAGTTTTTTATTTAAATGAAAGAAAATGTATTTTATATTTAATAATTTTTTAAAATGTTTTTTGTATTTTGTTATTATTCATTTATTTAAATACAAAATTCAACAATTTAATTTATTAAATATGCAGTTTTCTTTGTAGTATTTGTGTTTAGTAGTTAAATTGTTCTGATTTAATTGAATTTGAATATTTTTGAATCATTCTTTATTATTCTTGCTCTAAATGAGTACTCTATTTTTCTGAATGACCAGACTAATTAATAAGAGTATATATTTTTCTTTTCTAAACATGGGGCTGAAGTAGCTAGATTGCACGCTTTTTAGTTGAACTAACTTTTCTGGAAAGGTGAAATTGAAGTGTAAATGTTTAGAATAAATTTATGTAAATGTTGAATTTTATTGTCCCCCCTTTCTCCTCTTATTAAATATTTGTTAAAAACTAATTTTTTTATACAAATAAATATTAATGTAGTTAAATATTAAAAATACTATCTATAAAAGTATTTGAGTAAATGCCCGATGCTCCTTTCACAGTTTAGGGTAGGGTACTCCCCTATGAGTGCCTCTGCCCCCATAAAATGACTTGGTTTTTAATTTTGCCGGAGTTGGGAGTCAGAATCAGCCTACTAAAATTATCAGGAGTTGAAGTCAGAGTCGAGTGTTTTTTACTGACTCTGCAGCCTTGCTCGAACTGACAGTTAAAGGTTACAAATCTTGCAGATAAATATATTTTTGACCATTGCAAATATATATATTATTACAAAATTAGTCAATAAAAAACTGCAAACTATAGAAACTATACATAAGAATATACTATCCAACACTGAATGTAGTCTAACATTACCAAAAAATTACAAGAGTGGTATTGAAATAAAATAAGAAGCTATGCTGACTTCATTGTAGTGTGTGTAAAATATCACTGAGTTTAACATAATATCACACAAGAATATTGATTATAATAATAAATTTACTAATAATTATATACATATATATTTTATTGCTGGAGAATACTGCTTCAACAGAAAAAAAAATTTGTAGATAATTGTGAAATTTACCGGAATATGGACTTCGACTAGGACTCGTTTCTCTACTGGTACCCGTAGCTGTAGGAATACCCGATTTCCGTCTAACACGACCTCCTGAACCATCAGTTTGATAATGATATGTAGCATAACTTAATCTTGATGATGGAGAACCAGAACGACTACTGGCTGCAATATACAATCGTTTGAATACAATATCAAATTTAATCGTATGTCAAGCATTTATATGTAAGTTATTTAGAAGTATAGATAACAAGTATCAGTAGCAAGTACTTTTGGCTATATATCAATATTTTCTTAGTAGATATTCTTAATGGAAAGTAAACTAACAATCTATAATTCAGATGTTCATAAATGTTTCATAACAAAATGTATATTATTTAACAAAGTTAAAGCATACTGTAAATTTGTAATTATGCCTAACAGTTAATTCAACATTTAAAATTCAATTATTTAACCTTACCTAATGTTTAAACTTTTATTAAATTACATTGAATGTTAATGGCTGAAAAAGAATGAGTCAAATGTAATATTTTGTGGTTGCAATAATTATTCATTGTGGTGCCTATAATTTTTAAATCAATACACAAGATTTGGCAATTAAGGTCCAAGGATTTTGAATATTAAAAAAATAATAATCACCACAAATCAGAGTGATAAAAAATTTTAAATATAATTCATAGAAATCATCTTGAATTATTAAACACTCTCATAGTCACATAGAGCTGAAGGAAACACTTTTCAAACTTGTTTAAATTTATCATTACTGTTCGTCATATTGCATTCAGCATCTATATTCCAAAAATCACTTTCTTTTTCAGATTGATTTGATTTCAAAGAACAAAAAAGTATTTTGTTGAAGATAAATTTAAAAAATAATGATGAAAGTTGAGTTTTGTAAACCTGTATATTTCATTAAAAACTACTTAAATGTCATTAAAGAATGAGACCATATATACTCAGGAAGCAGGAACTAACTATATTTTCCCCAAATCTGAGGCCTTATATCTAAATTTTTTAATTCAGCTAGTTTCAGTATACTTGTGACCTTACAACAAATTTCTTGCAGGTAATTTTCTTGTTATCAAATATCATCAACATCATGTCACTAATAAAATAATGCAACCAATTGTACAATACGAAATCTATAACGTAATTAAGTGAATTAAAAACAATATAAAAGAAAGTTTATATAGAAGAGCAATTGGTTTTGTCAATTGTAGTGGCTGCTTTAAATTCTGTTCTAAAATTTTTTGTGTTTTAATTCTAGAATTTAATTGTCAAACTCACACAACATGAAATATAATGCGATAAAAAAAATATGAATGTTTACCTTCGGTAAATTTTTCTGAATCAAACAAAATGGTTCTGGTAAGTTCTATGGACATTACACAGCTTTTTTGGTACTTTTGAAACCGTGCTTGTAGTTATTAGTAGTAATTCAAACACAAATAATTATCGTATTTATCTTCAGGCACTTGGCAATACTTATCATCAAGTTTTATTCAGTTGATACGTGTTGTTATTACACACGTTTCGGGCATTTATTGCCCCTCTTCAGCCAACTAAAAACAAAAGTTCAACACTATAAAATTACAACAAACATATTAGGTATTGTTTTTCTAAAAGCATACCTTTTTAATTACAGGTTATCAAGATATTAAAAACCACAGGTTTCATCGCTTATGTTTACTGGTTGTTACAAAAATTTCTTGGCGCTTAACACACTTTAATCTAAGAAAACATACGGTTTATGTTATCTAAAATATTTTAAAACCTTATTTTTTATGTGGATTTTACATGACAAATTTACAATGAAGTACGTACCTAATTATTTGTTTTTCGCTGTTATAAAATCTAAACACTTTAAAAATTTTTTTTTTTTATACATTTACAACAATATATTACAACAAAGTTGACATATTTGTCTTTCAAAATCATGCAATTTTCTCTTTTTGCAAACGATTGGGATGACCTTTCCTCCCCCTCTTGTTTCCCCCAGTTAAGCTTACCACTGGTTNTTTTAAAGTGTTTAGATTTTATAACAGCGAAAAACAAATAATTAGGTACGTACTTCATTGTAAATTTGTCATGTAAAATCCACATAAAAAATAAGGTTTTAAAATATTTTAGATAACATAAACCGTATGTTTTCTTAGATTAAAGTGTGTTAAGCGCCAAGAAATTTTTGTAACAACCAGTAAACATAAGCGATGAAACCTGTGGTTTTTAATATCTTGATAACCTGTAATTAAAAAGGTATGCTTTTAGAAAAACAATACCTAATATGTTTGTTGTAATTTTATAGTGTTGAACTTTTGTTTTTAGTTGGCTGAAGAGGGGCAATAAATGCCCGAAACGTGTGTAATAACAACACGTATCAACTGAATAAAACTTGATGATAAGTATTGCCAAGTGCCTGAAGATAAATACGATAATTATTTGTGTTTGAATTACTACTATTACACAGCTTATTCTATACTTTATTAAATAGGAATGATACAGAATATATAGTCCTCAAAAAGTAGTTAAAATGTATAAAAGACAAGTGATTAATTACAATAAAACTAAACAGAACAGTTGAAAGAAACAATATTCTGTCTTTACATGAATATATTATAAGCAAATTTTCATCTTTCACAATAAAATTCAAATATAACATTTACAATTTATATATAAAATTCCCCCAATATAGAATACTTGAAGTATAGTATTTTATCACCATAAAATATTAATCCTAAACATACATTATCTGTAAAACAATTTTACATGTAAAATAGAAAATATTACTTGTCAGAAAGGAAGGTGAAAGTAAGTAATATGACAACTACACAAAATCTATGGGTACATAGAAATTTATCAGATAATTTACTTAACAGGAATATGGATAGCCTACTATCATGAAAATTTTAGATTTCAAAAAACCTAAGATTCTAACATAGTATCCTTATTGCTAGTAATTAAGCATGATTCAAGAGGAGAGTTTCTTTAATTCAATTGAATTTAATTAAAAACACTATATTTATCATCATATAATAAAAAATATAAGCAACAACAGTACATAGACAAATCTATAATAATTTTTGTTTTCTTAATTTCCTCAAAATCTTGCATTATAAGTACAAACCAATGTAAGTTACTTACTGTAGAAAACTGATAAAAATGTTTTAAAGTGGCATAATTGGATTATTATTTCACTCTAATGTAATGAAGTTTATTTAGTTTATTTACCATCAATTTCTTACAAACTGCTTATAAATATAGCTCAAATAAACACACTGATATAGGCAGATATGAGGCATCCACTTATATGAGTTGTTAATATACTTAACAAAGATATTGTATATAATAAAGTTAACAAACCTTAATATATTAAAAAAAGGTTAAAAGTTTGTTTTGATTTTAAGAAACTCTTAGGTTAAAATCATCTTTTCAGCAGGTAAAATCATATATTCTAGCATTTGAAGTTCCACAGATGTTCATTATATTTGATTTAAGTCTAGAAGTCAAGTCAAATAAACTCAAAAAATTGTTTAATACCAAAAATAAAAATGACCTCTATCAGAATAATATTTGAGATGTTATAATGTAATATGGGGTTAGAACTTGATGATGATAATAAGAAATGTATATAAGAAAAACTTTATTTCAAAAATGGCATTAGATGATTGATGATATTTAATAACTGAACAATTTCTGTATTTTATTTTGCAATAGACTATTTACTGTATATACATACATGTATTAAAATAGCATTAAAAAATGCTAGCAATTACTAATATGCAGACTATATAGCCAAATGTACTTGCTAATGATAAAAAAAAAATTGCTACTTGCCATGCAATGTGCACACACTATTGCTCTACTTATATAAGTTTCACTTACGTTGCGATTGAGATACACCTTTTGTTCTGCTACGACTTGTATGTTCTGGGGACGTCATGGCACTTGTTGCTTCAACTCTTCTCACACCAGATCTTGCTAAAAATATAATTTATAATTAGTATTAAATAAACAATTTATTCTTCCTTTTTCTTGTATAATTCGTTAGATTTATTTTAAATTTAATTATAATTAGCATTTAATTGCATTAATAATAATTTGTGGTTACATTTCATTAATTTTATAAATAGGTATTAAAATTTACTTCTCGTAAAAAACAGTATTTTCTTTAAATATAAAACAACAAAGTTTTAATAGTTCTTATTTTACACATTAATATTTTAAGCATTCAAATAATTTTTAGTAATTAATAATCTGATGTTTAAATGATTTTAAAATTTAATTGTTAGTGTTGATAAAATTGTTACTTTTTTAAGTACACACTTACGCAATGAAGCCCCCATATTACGCATATAATGGGGCATCGTAGCACCTGCTCGGAGCTTGGCCCGTCTAGCAGCTGCTAAGTCTATGGCACTATTGGACCTCAGAGGGGTGGGAGCAAATCGCGCTATAAGGGAATGATCCCATCAATAAAGAAAACCCAAAACAATAAATAATGAAAATATGTTAAATTAAAATAAAAATATTCTTTTCTACAAAATTAAAAAGAAAACAATTTTTTTTCTGTTGTTTCAAAATATATGAAAATAATAAAGAAGTAAAATTAAAAAGTAAAAATAAAATATAAATTTACTATTGTTTTCGTACAAACATACCTGCACTATGTTTTGGACTACTCAAAATAGGAATACCAGATCTTCTGCTAAGTCCTCCCATACTGCTCGCTGCACGACTATAATTTATTTTAATTTATTAAAATAAAGTATATATATATTTATTGTATAATAAAATCTAATTTTGATATCATCACTTTAATAAGGAATATATCTGTATCAATTACAAATGAGTAAGAATCATAACAAATTAAGTGACATTAGAAAAATTATATAAAGTAGTGATTTAAAATTTATATTAAAAAATTTGTAACAATACCAGCAAAGTATAATTATAAAAATTAAAATTATTGATATTGTATCAAGAAACGGGATTCTGTTTTATAATTTATAATGGTTTTTCTATTGATTTAATAATAAGTTTTTGTTATGAATTTCACTTAATATAATGATTTCAAACATAGAAATTACTATACTATTTCATATCTTTGAATCAAAATCAAGTTAATTTGTAAAATTAAAGTCCGATTCCTACAGAGAGTTCCATTATTAAAATATCTTCAAATAAATATTTAGAAACAAATATTTTGCCATTGCAACCAAATCAATATTTTTTGTATCATTTTATTATATATAAAAACTAATGGCTTATTAAATAGTATTACAATCAAGCAATAGATTTTTATGTAAGATATGAAATGTTCTATATTGATAGGCTGGTTTTCACATTAAACTTTACGACAGAGCTGGATTATTTTCTTAAAAATTGCTCTATCATATATAACATCCAGCAATAAAAACTAAACCTAAATTTTTTTCTACTTTATTTTTTAAAAAGCTCAGAATAAATTTCTCTTATATTTGATAATATAAGGAACTTCGAAACTCTTTACATTATATATATATACATATAATTCAGCTCTTTCATTTTAACAAATGCATAACTGACCTCTGTTTTGACATCACTGGCTTAATTCCTTCCTTTTTATGATTGACATAAATCTTCTATTATATGACTTATAAAATAGTGTATTTAAGCATTTTCTTTCCCTACTTCAATGAATATTATATAGTTCAAGATATTTCCAGAAACAGAAATTTACTTTATAACAAAATCAGAATTAAATTTATGATGTGTAGCTTAACAATGGTTTTCCAGAAATCAATTATGTCACGAAAGGATTTACTGCATATTTTTCTGGACTAAATTCTTCTAAGATCTTTAAAGGAATAAAATAATCATAATGTAATTTGAATAATTTAAGATTTTCATCTAAAATAGCAAATATTACTTCCATCCAATTATGCATATTAATAGTTTACTGATTGATTAGAGCAAGACTTGTATAATGAGAAGATACATATGTTTTGTATCAACAATAAGGTATTAAAAATATCAACAGAAATATAATATATATAGATATATAAACATCTCAAAGACCAATATTTTAACAATAAATCAAATAATTGCCCCCTGTTGAATCGAGTCACTTTGCTGCTATTATTAATAATTAAATTCCAATTAATTTTATACTAGAGGTAGGCATTAGTCACTATCTCTTATGAAATTTAATCATTATAATTAAATTAATATTTATTAAATAATTTAGCATATTCTAGAAGAAAAGAATTGACCTGGAGCGGGACACAAACCCACAATGCCTGTTCAAGTCCCGTTCCAGGCCAATTCCTTTCTTCCAGATTATGCTAAATCATTTAATAAATATTAATTTAATTATTAATAGTAGTGGTAAAGTAGCCCAATTCAATATGGCAATTGTTTGGCTTATTATTAATATATATAGTACTATTATATTAATTTTGAATCATTCATAGATTTCTATATAGATGTTATGGAAGTTTAAATGGAGCATATTTAGGAAATATCAATTAAAACATTTTATCATTTTCCACTTATACAAAAAGTTATATAGCTTAGTTTTTATTTTTTCCCAATAAATAAGAGTATTGAAAAGTTTTTCAAACTTTCCTTTATCATGACTGACTACAAAAATAAATTCACCTTTAACTCTTTAAACATGAGATTGACCAAAATTGCCTTAATCCATTTAATCGTCTCAAATGGATTAAGACAATCAGCCAAAGGAAAAGTTGCTTGATAAGTTTTGCTCTACAAATTTCCCTAACAGCCTGAGAAATAAAAAAAATTGTCTCCAGTTACATAAAAAAAAGAAATTTTCAAAGCTTAAAATGTTAGTAAGGATATTCCATATTCTTTAAACAATTTCATATCATCTTCAAATTTTTATTGAATTAAAAATATATTTTATGACTTATTACAATTTTGAACAGTTAAAAAATTGTAATATTATCTTTAATTCTTTTTATACATAATATTAATGAAAATGTACCAGTAGTGAAGAGAAAATTTTTAGATTGAAATCAATCATTTGAAAATTAAATATTAGAATGCTGCTGTAATAGTTGTGTTGCTATTAGAAAAAAAAATTAATAGCAGCTACAATCACAGTTCATTAGAACATTATTCAGCTATTGCCATACTGTCTGTAAGTCTTTTTTTTTACAAGTTGAGAGATTTACTATAAAAAATTTATTGTAGATGACATACTTGTTTCTCTGCAAAAAAACACCTCATTTCTGAGTGTAAAATCAAATAAAAATAAGCAATCCTACTTAAGTACCTTGAATCTCAGATCTAAGCCCTGAAAGCTGTAATCAGATAATAATAAATGTTCATGTAAATGTTTATCATCTAATTCAAGTATTAGGTAATTTTCCATAAGCTATCCTAATATCTATCTTTATCAGTTCATTTTTGATTCCAAGTTTTTTTTTTATATATACAGTAGAACCCCTCTAATCCGTCACCTTTGGGACTGGGGGTATGGTCGGAACGCAAAAAAGGTCGGATTATCAGAAAAAAGTAAAATAAACAATCTTTCCCTTTGTCTAGTCTTTGTAGCACTGCTAATTTTTCATTTAATGAAAGAGTAACGTGTTTACGTTTCACTCCTGACATATTGAAAACACACACAAAACCGTACATGTACACACAATGTAAAACATATACTGTAACGAACACAGAAAAACGCCATGGACGGTGAGTCACCGACGAGTCGGGACAAGTTGCTCGACTCCGACCACGGTCGGATTAACCGGAGTGACGGATTAGCCAAGGGCGAACTAGAGGGGTTCTACTGTATATAATATGAATAATAAAAATCTCAAGGTAACTTCAAAAATTAACATGTGTCAATCATTTTTACAGCATAAAATGGTTCAGATTTTTAACAAGAGCTCAAAGAAGCAAAGTACATACTCAGATGCTTAAGGACTCCAGCAATCAGTTGATTAATAAACAATATGTAAATTATTAAATGTATAAATAATAGTTTAATTCAAAACATATAAATTTAAACTTTAAACAATGGCAACATTATACAGAGCCACAATTTTACAATGATGTAATATTATCTTATCCATGTATATTGTCAGAATGATTACATCTTTACCGTCAAATGGAAACAAAAATTTAAAAAAATTTAGTTTTGTTTCAAAAATTTATTTTGTAAATAATAGTTCAGAGAAAGAATCTAAAATGTGCCTTTTAATACACAGTAGACTCTCCCATATCTGAACTAATCTGGGCGAGATTGATCTGGATATCAGAAAAAATCCAGATAAGGGTGTGATAATTTTCAAATAAAACTGTAACATAAGTGCCTACTCTATGTATAAAAAAATGCTTATATTTGACAATTACAGTTACAATTAATTTTGTAAGTATTGTGTTAAAGCTGTTTGTTTTGTTCTTCTCAATTCATTGACAAGATGTTACATCATGCTAATGCCTCATCATCATCATCATGTCAGCAGTGGTTGATGTGTTGTGCTCTTCTGCAAACTTCAAGGCAGCCTTAATAAAAACAAATTAAAAAATATACCCACCACAGTATGAAAAGGTAAGATTTAAAGTAGTGTACAATATTTTGAAAATTTTTGGTTGCCTCTGATCAGTCCAGATATGGGAAAGACTACTGTAACTTATATTCTGTAATAATTGAAAATGAAGAATTTTTATACATCTTGGTACATGTTGTAATGAAAAAGTTTTGTTTTGAAATAGTGAGTTTGTTTATCCATTAGGATAAAATCTCAAAGACCAGTCAGTAGCTCTAAATTTGATTAGAGAATAGTAGATCTCTTAACAACAACTAATAAGAAATTTTAAAGTTTTACTGTTATGAATATTTTTATTAAAAGCATATTCAAGTTATCAACTTGGAACACTGTACAAGAAAGTTTCACTAACATGAACATGGTATTTCATTATCAATTCTCACTGCAACTGTATTTAATATTATTCCAAGAACAAAGTAAATTCAGAATGTAAAATAAAACCTAATCAGTAGTCTTAAAAATGTAAGCTATGTTTAAAACAATTCTTTCATTAGAAGATTTTTTTTTAATTTCTAAATCTTTATTTGCTTTAAATTTTCTTCAAAATGCAGGTTATATAATTCCACATTTAAAAACAATCTATAATTAATTAAAATGTGACTTTCAGTATGAACTATTATCAAAAACTCAACAAAAATGAAGGTTAGAATTTTGTAGATGTTCATTTTTTTTTTAATTACAAAAATTGAATATCCCTATATGTTTCATGTGAATATCATTCTTATCTCAAACAATACTTGTTACCATTTTTACAAGTATCATTACAGATTTACAGAACTTGCTGCATTGTTAAATCTTCCATGTTGTTCTGAAAAATTAATTTTTTTCACTTCTTTACCACGTATTATTTCTGAAAGTATATGATGCTGTTTTTTGTGTTTTACACTTTAACCTGCATTATCTTCAAATATTCTATAATATAATTTGATTACCTTCACACAAAAATGGAGCATATTTAGGAAATATCAATTAAAACATTTTATCATTTTCCACTTATACAAAAAGTTATATAGCTTAGTTTTTATTTTTTCCCAATAAATAAGAGTATTGAAAAGTTTTTCAAACTTTCCTTTATCATGACTGACTACAAAAATAAATTCACCTTTAACTCTTTAAACATGAGATTGACCAAAATTGCCTTAATCCATTTAATCGTCTCAAATGGATTAAGACAATC